TCAGTTTTAAAAATTTAAAACCTTTACCGCCTCTTTTCAGCTCATACCAGTTCGTACCAGCCTCATACACAGCCTCATACACAGCCTCATACACAGCCTCATACACAGCTCTCATACACAGCCTCATACACAGCCACATACACAGCTTCTAACACAGCCTTATAGCTTCATGCACAGCCTCATACACAGCCTCATACAACAACCTAATACACAACCTTGTACACAACCTCATACACAACCTCATACACAGCTTCACACATAGCCTCACACACAGCCTCATACACAGCCTCATACACAACCTCATACACAACCTAATACACAACCTAATACACAACCTTGTACACAACCTCATACACAGCCTCATACACAGCCTCATACACAACCTTATACACAACATACACAGCCTCATACACAGCTTCATACACAGCCTCATACACAGCCTCATACACAGCCTCATACACAACCTTATACACAACATACACAGCCTCATACACAGCTTCATACACAGCCTCATACTCAACCTTATACACAACTTCATACACAGCTTCACACATAGCCTCATACACAGCCTCATACACAGCCTCATACACAACCTCATGCACAACCTAATACACAACCTAATACACAACCTTGTACACAACCTCATACACAGCCTCATACACAACCTTATACACAACATACACAGCCTCATACACAACCTTATACACAACATACACAGCCTCATACACAGCTTCATACACAGCCTCATACACAACCTTATGCACAACTTCATACACAGCTTCACACATAGCCTCATACACAGCCTCATACACAGCCTTATACACAGCCTCATACACAGCCTTATACACAGCCTCATACACAGCCTCATACACAGCCTTTACACAGCCTCATACACAGCCTTATACACAACTTCATACACAGCCTTATACACAACTTCATACACAGCCTTATACACAACTTCATACACAGCCTTATACATAACTTCATACACAGCCTCATACACAGCCTTATACACAGCCTCATACACAACCTTATACACAACTTCATACACAGCCTTATACACAACTTCATACACTGCCTTATACATAACTTCATACACAGCCTCATACACAGCCTCATACACAGCCTTATACACAGCCTCATACACAGCCTTATACACAGCCTCATACACAGCCTTATACACAGCCTCATACACAGCCTTATACACAGCCTCATACACAGCCTTATACACAACTTCATACACAGCCTTATACACAACTTCATACACAGCCTCATACACAGCCTTATACACAACTTCATACACAGCCTTATACACAGCCTCATACACAACCTTATACACAACTTCATACACAGCTTATACACAAACTTCATACACAGCCTTATACATAACTTCATACACAGCCTTATACACAGCCTCATACACAACCTTATACACAACTTCATACACAGCCTTATACACAACTTCATACACAGCCTTATACATAACTTCATACACAGCCTTATACATAACTTCATACACAGCCTTATTACATAACTTCAACAACAGCCTTATACACAGCCTCATACACAACCTTATACACAACTTCATACACAGCCTTATACACAACTTCATACACAGCCTTATACATAACTTCATACACAGCCTTATACATAACTTCATACACAGCCTTATACATAACTTCATACACAGCCTTATACATAACTTCATACACAGCCTTATACACAACTTCATACACAGCCTTATACACAACTTCATACACAGCCTTATACACAGCCTTATACACAACTTCATACACAGCCTTATACACAGCCTCATACACAGCCTTATACACAACTTCATACACAGCCTTATACACAACTTCATACACAGCCTTATACACAACTTCATACACAGCCTTATACATAAATTCATACCCAGCCTCATACACAGCCTTATACACAGCCTCATACACAACCTTATACACAACTTCATACACAGCTTCATACGTAGCCTCATACACGGCCTTATACACAGTCTCATATACAGCCTCATACACAGCCTCATATAGAGCCTCATACACAACTTCATACACAGTCTCATAAATGTCCTCATACACACACACTCATACAAACCCTCTCTCCTCAACTACAAAACACGTACGTAACCCCCCTCTCTCCTCCACTACACAACACGTACGTAACCCCCTCTCTCCTCCACTACACGACACGTACGTAACCCCTTCTCTCCTCCACTACACGACACGTACGTAACCCCCCTCTCTCCTCCACTACACGACACGTACGTAACCCCCTTCTCTCCTCCACTACACGACACGTACGTAACCCCCCTCTCTCCTCCACTACAGAATCTGTACATAATGGAGAGACGCTGTCGCTGCGGCAGGTCAGCAGGACTCACATGGGAGCCTACCTCTGTATAGCCTCCAACGGTGTTCCACCTTCAGTCAGCAAGAGAATCACCTTAGACGTGGAGTGTAAGTAACAGCGGAGAGTATATCATTGGTCAAGTGTGTGTGTGGGGGGGGGCTGATTAGGTCTGCCGGAAGGTAATAGCAAGAGCCGAATTTGATCAGGATGTCGAGAAGGATTGCCAGAGGTTAGAAGAGCTATCAGCGTAAGAGCATGTATGTATGTGTATGTAGGAGCATGTATGTACGAGCATGTGTGGGAGCATGTATGTATGTATGATTGGGACCATGTATGTATGTGTGGGACCATGTATGTATGTGTGGGACCATGTATGTATGTGTAGGACCATGTACATATGTGTAGGACCATGTATGTGTAGGACCATGTATGTATGTATGTATGTATGTGTAGGAACATGTTTGTATGTGTGGGACCATGTATGTATGTGTGGGACCATGTATGTGTGGGACCATGTATGTATGTGTAGGACCATGTATATATATGTGGGACCATGTATGTATGTGTGGGACGTATGTATGTGTAAGACTATGTATGTATGTGTGGGACCATGTATGTATGTGTAGGACCATGTATGTATGTGTAGGACCATGTATGTAGTATGTGTGGGACCATGTATGTATGTAGTATATGTGGGACCATGTATGTATGTGTGGGGCATGTATGTATGAAAGCATATATGTATATGTGGAAGCATGTATGGACTCGAGGGAGCATGTAACCTGGTGTGAGAACACGCAGGTATAAGCAAGTATGAGTAGTCTCCTGACACGGGTAATTATCCGTGGCAGGGGAAGACAGAGACTGGAACACACACAGACAGAACAATAACATCGCACAGAACTTAAAAAGAACAGGCCTAAAAAAAAAAAAACTCGGAAATAAACACGTCATTTGACCCAGCGTTCAGAGAACCCAACAAAACAAGACCGTCCAAGACCAGAGGTTGATAATGAGAACTTTCAAAACAGGAGAAGTCTCTCTCTCTCTCTCTCTCTCTCTCTCTCTCTCTCTCTCTCTCTCTCTCTCTCTCTCTCTCTCTCTCTCTCTCTCTCTCTCTCTCTCTCTCTCTCTCTCTCTCTCTCTCTGGTACTCCTATACGAGTCGCTTGCGTACTCACAGCCTCCAGCATCCCGTGCTCACAGCGCCTTTCAAGGCAGGGAATATATCAGAGCTGGAAAATTTACCGGGAGCGTTTACTGCCCACATAGTCAATAAACCATCTAAACTACTGGGAACGCTTCAGGGCACTTAGAATGTTCTCTCTGGCACCGAGAAGAAAGACAGGCAGAGACACCTGATACTGTACACACGAACAGATGTTTGGATAAATAGTCTAGAAAGCCGATAGGATGATAAGTAAGACATTTTTGCAACACTTGGGTATCTGTAGTCTGGAAACGTTTCGCCAGCTAGTGGCTTCTTCAGTCTAATGCAGAAAAACGTGTGAGATGAGGAGGAGTTTGAGGTAATCAGTCTCTCGGCCTGAAGATTATTAAATGGGTGGACTGGTAAGCCAGCGGAAGGACTCGGTCAGATGACCAAAAGCTCCAGCCAAGCCATACATATCCTTTGTGGGTCAGCCCCTTCCCCCATATGTACAGTGTCATAGCAACATACTGGAGTGAGAAATGTGGGAGGAAGTGTAGAAGAGATCCAGTAAAAAGCATGGGCACCATGGCCACCATGGGCACCATGGGCGCGGTAAGAGAACACTGCATCAATTTGCTGGATCACGAAATGGACAAGACCCGGGCCGGGACATCACCGGCAAACCTCATTACATACTACGTCAGCGTTAGCGGACCACGACTCTTGAAACTGCTCCCAGCACATATCAAATGTTGCAGCAGCAAGTATGGAGGTTGTCAGTGAGGGAACTAGAGCACTGTTTGACGTACCTTCTTGATGAGGCTAATTGTGACGGCTGTGTGGACATGTGGGCCGCCACCACCAACAACCTGGTTGACCAAGTGGCCAACATATGCGTGAGGCCATGTGTATATGCGAGTATGGAAGCTTGTATTTTGTATACAGTTAATATATGACTAATTGTTTGGCAGACTCTCAATTATTTTTTAATTACATATTCTCCCCTCCTTCTTCCTTCCTTCCCTCTTTCCACCTTTCCCTAATTCTCCTCTCCCTCCTCCTTCCCTTTTCCTTCTCCCTCATTCTCCCCTCCCCCCTCATTCTTCCATATAATCCCCTCACCATTTGTATCAAAGCCATTTCGAGTAGTTTCACTCACATCTTCGTGTTTTCTTCAGTTCCCCCACAGATCCACGTTCCCAACCAGCTGGTGGGGGTACCCACTGGTGACAACGTTACTATAGAGTGCTTCGTCGAGGCCTTCCCCAAGGTCAGTGCTTGTGCTTGTAGTTGTGGTAGTGGTGGTAGCCGTGCTTGTTTGGGTTAATTCACCAAGTCACCCGAGTCATATAAAATCAAGAATCTCTCCTTGTCAACAGGCTATCAGCTACTGGGTACGTAAAGACATGATGATTCTTAACTCGGACAAGTACCGGTCAGAGACCTTTGAGACGGTGTATCGAATCCACATGAAGCTAATCATCTTCAACTTCTCGCGGGACGACAACACAACCTACAAGTGTGTGGCCAAGAACTCTCTGGGGGAGACCGAGGGAGACATCAAGCTCAACGGTGAGAGACTCTTCCAAGCATCTCGTTTGAGGTTATGTTTCTGTTAGGATACTGTTAACCGGGTTGGTGTCTGCTACTGGTTAACTGGTTAACTGGTTTCATGTCTCATACCTACTGGAGTTACAACTCCGTTAAAACAATGTACTGGTGACTACCATAATGTCAGGGGATCCCCCACACTGTCGGTTCCTTTTTATACATGTAACCCCTTGAGAATCCCCACCCCCATGAATTAAACCCTTCTGCTGGGTAGTTTAAGGGTTTAAATATTTTTTTGCGTTGTACATGCATGTGTGTGTGGGTGTGGGGGTTTTGGGTTGTGTGTGTGGGGTGTGTGTGTTGTGGGGTGTGTGTCTGTACACCCCACACCCCCCAAATCCACTCTCATAATTACCCCCCTCTTCCCAAAAAAGCACATTTTTTACGTATTTCCAGAAGTATTTGAAGTATTTGGAGCGAAACGACAGGACGGGCGGCCAGGGTGTCTTATCTCCACCTCAAAATTTCCCCAACATTTTACAAGAAGATAATCTCCCTCACTCGTTTTAATTTTTGAAAGAATGTCAAAAGTGCTTCTGATTATACTTCAGTTTCCTCTCATTTTATTATTTTTTATTTTATTATTTTTATTATTTTTCTTGTTGTTGTTTTTGTTATTGTTATTATTAATTTGTTTTTATTGTTATTACTATTTTTATTATTGTTTTATTACTATTATTTTTATTTTTTATTGTTATCATTCTTTTTATTATATTTTTTTATTCTACTATTTGTTTTATTTTTATTGTCATTATTTATTGTTGTCTTTATTATTATTATTATTTTTATTATTATTATTATTTTATTATTATTTTATGATGGGGGTTTAACCTCCCTTTCCCTCCAGTCCTTTTTCCCCCCACAGGGGAAAGGGCACCTGAACCACCTGACACCACTGACACCACCTGACCCACCTCACCACCGCGTAATGTCTTTGCGTGGGCGTCAACAACAACAGCAACACCAACGCAAAAACAAACTAACATATAACAAAAAAAAAACAGCAACAGTAACAATATCAACAACAAAAAACAGCAACATACAATATCAACAAAAAACAGCAAAAAAAGCAACATAACAATATCAACAACAAAAAAAACAAAAACGCGCAGTAACAAAACATTAACAGAACAAAAACAATCACAACAACAACAGCATCAAGGAAGCAAAAAATAAACACAACAACAGTTACAACAAAAACAACAAGAAGGCAAAACCCAAAAACAAAAAATTTTAAAAAAAATAATAAAAACAAAACAACAAAAAAGGGCGGAAACAAATAAAAAAAACTTTAATAAAAAAAATAAAAACAAAAACATCAAGCGCAACAAAAGCAGCAGCAACAAACACAACAAGAAAAAAACAGAAAACAACAACATTTTTAAAACACACCACACACAACAACACACACACACACACACAACACACAACAACACACACCATTGGGATGATTACAACCCACACGAACTGAGGAGGCCAAAAGAGGATACGAAGAAAAAACGGGTATGGGGGACCCGGTGAGGGGGCAAGAAGAGCTCATCGAGCGAGCAAAGTTTACTAGTAATGGACGATTTCAACCACAGGAGATCGACGGGGGAAAAACCCGGGGCCCATGGGGGTCTGAAACATGGAGAGCCCAAAATATGGATGTGGTACTTGAAACCTCATGTACAACATGTCAGGGACACAACCAGAGAGAGAGGGGGGGAAGACCAGCAAGACTGGGTCTTGTGTTCACCCTGGCGTTTCAGACATTGAGGCATCACTTTCGAGGGCCCCTTGGGCTAGCGATCACGTGGTTTTTTGAGTTTTGATTATATAGGGTTACAAGTGGAGAAGGTAACAGGGAAAAAGAAGGGGGACAGGGCCCAAAATATAAAAGGGGGGCTACACAGGGAGAGAAACTTCCCGCAGGAGGGTTTAGTGGGACAGAGAATGGGGGAAAATAGTAAACAGATGATGGAATATGTCAAAAAAGTGCAAGGGGCAGAGGAAAGTTTGTTCCCAAGGAAAAAAATAATAGGAAGCCCAAAAAGGTTTGGTTTACCCCAAAATTAGGGAGGCAAAAAAAAAGTGCAACGAAATGGAAAAGGTACAGGGGCATGGACCCCGCAAAAAAAAGAGATTAGTAGAAGAGCCAGAAAAGAGTATGCACACATAAGGAGGGAGGCCCAGCGACAGTATGAAAACGACATAGCATCAAAAGTCAAATCTGACCCGAAACTGCTGTATAGCCACATAAGGAGGAAGACAACAGTCAAGGACCAGGTGATAAGGCTGAGGAAAGAAGGTGGAGAACTCGCAAGAAACGATCAAGAGGTATGTGAGGAGCTCAACACGAGATTTAAGGAAGTATTTACAGTAGAGACAGGAAGGATCTTGGGGGGACGGATCAGATGGGGACACCAGCAAGGAATACACAAACAAGTGTTGGACGACATACATACAGATGAGGAGGAGGTGAAGAAACTGCTAAGGGACATCGATACCTCAAAGGCAATGGGACCGGACAACATCTCCCCGTGGGTCCTTAGAGAGGGAGCAGATATGTTGTGCGTGCCACTTACCACAATCTTCAACACGTCCCTGGAAACTGGGCAACTACCTGAGGTATGGAAGACGGCAAATGTAGTTCCCATTTTTAAAAAAGGAGACAGAAAAGAGGCACTAAACTATAGACCTGTGTCATTGACGTGTATAGTATGCAAAGTTATGGAGAAGATTATCAGGAGGAGAGTGGTGGAGCACCTGGAACGGAACAAGAGTATAAATGCCAACCAGCACGGATTCATGGAAGGCAAATCCTGTGTCACAAACATTCTGGAGTTTTATGATAAAATAAACAGAAGTAAGACACGAGAGAGAGGGGTGGGTTGATTGCATCTTCTTGGACTGCAAGAAGGCCTTTGACACAGTTCCTCACAAGAGATTAGTGCAGAAGCTAGAGCATCAGGCGCATATAACAGGAAGGGCACTGCAATGGATCAGAGAATACCTGACAGGGAGGTAACAACGAGTCATGGTACGTAATGATGTATCACAGTGGGCACCTGTGACGAGCGGGGTCCCACAGGGGTCGGTCCTAGGACCAGTGCTATTTTTGGTATATGTGAACGACATGATGGAAGGGTTAGACTCAGAAGTGTCCCTGTTTGCAGATGATGTGAAGTTAATGAGGAGAATTAAATCTGATTAGGACCAGGCAGGACTTCAAAGAGACCTGGACAGATTGGACACCTGGTCCAGCAAATGGGTTCTCGAATTTAATCCTGCCAAATGCAAAGTCATGAAGATAGGGGAAGGGCACAGAAGACCACAGACAGAGTATAGGCTAGGTGGCCAAAGACTGCAAACCTCACTCAAGGAGAAAGATCTTGGGGTGAGTATAACACCGAGCATGTCTCCGGAAGCACACATCAATCAGATAACTGCTGCAGCATATGGGCTCCTGCAAACCTGAGAACAGCATTCCGATACCTTAGTAAGGAATCGTTCAAGACACTGTACACCGTGTATGTCAGGCCCATACTGGAGTATGCAGCACCTGTTTGGAACCCGCACTTGATAAAGCACGTCAAGAAACTAGAGAAAGTACAAAGGTTTGCGACAAGGTTAGTTCCAGAGCTAAGGGGAATGTCCTATGAAGAAAGATTAAGGGAAATCGGCCTGACGACACTGGAGGACAGGAGGGTCATGGGAGACATGGATAACGACATATAAAAATACTGCGTGGAATAGACAAGGTGGACAAAGACAGGATGTTCCAGGGAGGGGACACAGAAACAAGAGGCCACAATTGGAAGTTGAAGACACAAATGAGTCAGAGAGATATTAGGAAGTATTTCTTCAGTCATAGAGTTTGTAAGGCAGTGGAATAGCCCTAGAAAATGACGTAGTGGAGGCAGGACCATACACCAGGTTTTAAGACGAGTTTGATAAATCCTCATGGAGCGGGGAGAGAGAGGGCCCAGTAGCACCGGTGAAGAGGCGGGGCCAGGAGCTAATACTCGACCCCTGCAACCACAATAGGTGAGTACACACATATATTATATATATATATATATATATATATATATATATATATATATATATATATATATATATATATATATATACACACACAACATACACACACACACACACACACAGACACACACACACCATAATATACACACAACACATATATACACAACACACATACACACACACACACACACACACACAACACACACAACTCACACACACACACACACACACAAACACACACACACGATACACACACATACACACACACACACACACACACAACACACACAACACACACACACCACCACACACACACACACACACACACACACACACACACACACACATATATTTATACACACACACATACACACACACACACACACACACATATATATCACATACACACATACACACATACACACACAAACACACACACACACACACACAACACAACAACACACACACACACACACAACACACACACACACACATAAATACTTGACACCATCAAAGGCGGTGGGACCAGAAACATCTCTCCAAGGTCCTAAAGAAGGGACCCAGAGTATATTGTGTGAGCCATTAACAAAGACTTCAACACATCATTGGAAACTGGGCAACTCCCTGAGTATGGAAAAATGGCCAAATTGTATCCCCAATTTTTACAAGGAGACAGACATGAGGCACTAAACTACAGACCTGGTATCACTAACGTGTATAGTATGCAAGGTCATGGAGAAAGATCATCATGAGGAGAAGTGTGGACATCCTGGAAAAGAACAAGTGTAATTGACAACCAGCACGGTTTTCAAGGAAGGAAAATCTGGTCACAATCTACACGAGTTTATGACAAGTGACAGAAGTAGACACGAGAGAGAGGGGTGGATCGACTGCACATTTTTTGGACTGCAAGAAGGCCTTCGACACAGTTCCTC